CACATGAGTTGGAGATAACCTGTAAAGGTCAGTTAATAGGATTAACATTGGAACTACATTCAGCTTTATGGATGCTAGCTTCAGCCAATGAACAGTCTCAAAGTCCAAGGTAATCATGACTGATACCGGGATGCCCAGTTTGTACAGGAGGGGGTTGCGATAAAGTGAGACGATCCTTTAATAGGATCTGAACGATTCATAAAGGAAAAAGGGCTTAGATATACGAATTGAGGTATTTGTGGCCCCGTTGTGGAATGCAGGGTTAAAGACCATATATGACACCAATAGCAATAAAGTACAACAGTTCCCAAAAAAGTCAAACATGATAGAGAGTATTCAATGGAATCTTGGCTTGGCTTCGTTTCCGAAGATTTGATGGAATACTATGAGTATGATAATATATATTCAATGGAATACTATACTGTAAAAAGGATGATGATTTCAAATTCCTGGACAGTACCATATAGAAAGAGAGCCGACGACCCTTGACATTTCCATGCCAAATGAATACGTATGTTCCTAGGAGAAATATCTGTCTTGAGTGATTACATTGGCCTGGGATAGTGCAATACTCGTATGAGGTTGAATCAGAGGCCATCTTTGAGGATATTGAAGAAATAAATCTGTAATCAACCGCCCCCTCTATATGATATATATACCAGCCATCCAGTGTGAAACGGTCCTTACGTTTAGGGTGGTGCGTAGTAGTTTATTGTGTTTTATAGCTGATTAGACTAATTACAAAACCATAACTTAAAAACGAGCCAATAAGCTATGTGTCACCTACAAATCATGACTTTACCATGCAGAACATGAGTTCCGCCGCACTACCATAGAAGGCAATATTTAAACCTTTAGACGTACATTTTCGTCCGTAAAACCATACAAGCTAAGCAGTGATGTGTAAGGGAGTGAACATTGACGTAGTAAGGGAGCCCCTAGAGAAATATATAGCAGCAAACGTGGGGAAACACGACTTTAGTCGTCATAAAAGTCATTTTTGTATCATCAGAAACATACACCATGAAGACCCTGTGTAGGTGGAACAAAGAGAGCTTCAGAATGCCATGAGTGAATAATAAGGAATACTGAAGGACAAGGTCGTAAAATTATTTTACAAAGAGTGTCCCCAGTCGACATTGAATATGATTATTCTGATATCATTCGTCTGCTTGTGTATAAATACCCAAGAGTGGTGTCATTCAGAAGCTACAAAATCCCTGATGTAATGTTACAAAGGCCATAAAAGCTCGTTTACTGCCTTCTCGTTTTGCATGGAATCTGAACACTTTAATACAAGTGCACTTATCGTTAACCCCAAATACTTGATGCCCCTGTATATCATTTCAAGTTTAATTGAGGTGAGTTTCAAAGCAAGGTCCGTTGCGGAGCCCCGTGGTGACAAGAGCTGAATAGTAAGGACTTAACAGCGATGTGGCACAGCCCGTTATGTGCTGTCTGTCATTAGAGACCTAAGACAAATGCAATGTGGCATGAAAGCCTCATTATGTAGAATATTTTTCCCAAAAAATCTTATGCTTCAATGTAAGGTTTCGTTATTATCATTTGCTTCCACGTTACAAAGTCTTCCACGTACTTTTCTCTTATCTTATAATGAAAATGCAATTAGTTGTAATCGACTATAGCCTCTTTTATGTACAAAATACGTTACTGGTTGTTTTAGACTTAATAGTCATATTATATAACATCGATACTATTTGTGTAAAGACCTTGCGGTCGGATATCAGATCTCCAATATCATATAAACACTAGTAGACTGCGGGTATACTTACATTGATTTCCGATGACATGTTTGTTATACAAATAATATACTGTAGAATATGCTTAAAAGTTGTTCATTACGTATTAGCGCTACACATGCGGTTTTTAAAATATGGCAACCGCATGTAAGGATTTACAATACATTCACGTACGTACAATGTATGAAGGTAAATTCATCTCAGTCTATTGATATGTATGGGTATTCATGCTGTGGGCTGTCGGACTGGCACTCTGCCTCAGTTTTGTCATTTTTATTAAAACGACCAATGCTACATCCAACACGACAAAACAAGATTACGTTGTGAGGGAGATGTTTCCACTGATTAAATGAGTTTCTTATTTGACCTACAACAAAACTGGCGACCATTCACTGATTAGTTTTTGTACTAAGAACAAGTATGGGTCATCTCTATTATGTCTGGGGTTGTTTCAAGCAAGTTTGAATACTCTTTTGTTTTATTTTATTTGAGCTCTCTATTGCACAATGGAGACAAAACAGGCGATTACTCCCTTCCCCCGGAACACATAAGATGCATAACTAAATAATAACAGAAAAATTATATGATGTAATATTCCTTGAAGAAGATTTTTAAAGAAAATATTGCTCAAAGTCATATTGTATTCAGTGTTGCAGAGCAGTATGCGATAAAGGTAGCCATGAAATTCCTTCCCATGTTACCGCGCTACTGAGTAATCTGATGACTTTCAGGGTAACATTGCTGCCACGGGAACAGTGTCGTTTGACCTTGCGGTCTCGTTTTGTACCCGGTAAAAGTTCTTTAGGGCGTTTGAATCTAATCATTCAAGCTATTCCCGAAAAAAATTCATGTATGCACCTCAACAAGGATGCCATAATAAGAACAGAAGGATAAAATATTTCCAACCTGTAGATCTTTGCTGTTTGAGTAGAGGAGATACGTTTGATTGCACCGCTGCATGGACCTCTATGCGTCGGCGCCAAGCATTAAACCGCGCCGCGTCACAGACAACTGCCCAGCAGAGGTCATTCCGCTGACATTGAGCTTGCACTAGATCCCGATTAGTAACGATCACCACCCCTCGTGCCTCCGAATGTCAATACGTAATCCAATCATCAGGGATGCACACTGACGGGAAGGCAATCTAGGCTCAAAATCGGATGGAGTCGTCCAAACTATGGAATCATCTAAAACGCGATATGAATAGCTTGAAACTACTTGATATTGGCAAGCGCTAGTCGGTATCTTTGAACTTTAACCATCGATGGGCTTCAGTGTGACATCGGCGCACATGATATTGCAGCCGAAATGTCTATCGCAGCCAGGAGGAATCTTGCTCTTGGCACTAGTCTGTCGTCCATGATCAATTTTGGACGAATTTGTAGGAACAAAGAAGACGGCATAGAAAATATAACGTGACTTGTAACCGATACTATGTTCATCTAAGCGCCTTATATGGCAGAATCAAATTTTCTTGCAACGGCACTGATATTGAACGACGCATCCAGGACCATAAAGTCACACAGCATGCCAACATTCAACAGGTTGATAATATTTAGGGAATTTTTATTTATTTTGGGCAATAGTATTAACTTACCTAGGTTTGCAAAATATGTTAAAAACCGCACTTAATATTTAGGTTTTACATAGGTTTCATGATAATACAAGGCCCTGTATAATGTCGTATTTATGTCCAGACAACATGTAGGCGAACGTCTTTCGTTATTTCAAAATAATCCCATAATACTCCAGAAGTGTCCTATAATACTTTTCCTAGAAGCTGAAAGTCCTATAGATAATGCTTTTCCTAGAAGCTGAAAGTCATGCCAATATTATGCCTAAGATATTTATATTTGGGGTAGGCTTTAATGACAAGGCGGTGCTATATGTTTTACACGAATGCGCAGTCAACATATGGACCAGTATACGATAAGCTGTATGATCATTAATTCTGCCATTATGTTACCAGTGGGTATATCAACTTGGAATGGACTATAAAAGGCATCAAACTGACCACAACGACATGATAGTGTGCTATCAAAGCATGTGAGGGGAATCATATCCAAGCGGTTCCAAAGCAGTAAAGGGAAACGGAAGCAATCATCAGGTCGTTCTCCTGAACCCGGGTACACGCTATGTCCTTGGGAAAAGCACTTTCCTCACTCCGCCCAGGTGTAAATGGGTACCTGACTCCGCTCGGAAATGTAAAAGGCGGTACCTCACATAAGACTTAACTTGTTGCGGCAACAACGTCAAGCAAGCAATATGACCTTTAACTTTACCCTTTATCTTATTTAATATCCCTAATCAATAACATTTACTTGGGTTGGATATCCGGTATCTGTATTTTTTTATTCAAGATTTATCAAACAAAAATGTGGATCACAATCCTGGCACAATTTCAGGTTACACATGTACGTTATTTTGTATACATGCTATGTTTGTGTTTGTTAAACATATTAGTAGTATTTTCAAAAAAAGTGTCAATGAAAAGAAAGAGTAAAAAAGATTCTGACACACAGAAACGATTGTGCTTCCCCAGCGACGCTATGTGACAAGGTGTCCCACGTAGTCAACTGCTCTTTCGTGTCGGCCTATAACTTTGATGAGATGTCAGTATTCCGTGGCAGACCTACACTAATTGCTGCCGTTCTGGTTGCCGAACCCTGTTAAAGGGGACCTGACGTATCTGGGGTGATGTGGTTATACAGGATGAGCCGGGGCACGCGTGTAACACAGTTTCGTGACACAGTAACCATGTGGTTCCCCTCCTAATCACCAGATAGCTCGTTAACTTAGCTCATCATGGCTGCGTTTTCATCGACAATGGCCGGATTATTGCTATACATGATAATTAGAGTGGGTGTGCTTGAATCGGGGTTTGGAGGTAGATACTGAGAAAAAGGTTGAACAGAGATGCCACATCTAATTCAATTTATTTTCTTTCTAGTTTTGCTGAGTAGGGTGCATATTTGTTGGAGTCATTGTCCCTGTCTAAGATGGCATCAAAGCTTGAAACATTATCGAAATTTTCCTACGACTTTGTTTCAACTACACATAGACACACACACACTGTTGTTATAACCAATGACTGATTATCTCAGGAGGAAAGTTCATCCAAGTTGGTATATTGCATAATGAAAATTTAACTGTTCTTAAAGTTACAAAGAAATGACTGATGGGGAATTTTGTACTGACTGTCTTTTTGCTTTTGTGGCACAAGTTGTTAGAATATCTCACCTGTCTCCGCTCCTTCTTGTCCGATGTCTTGCTGTGTATAAGCCCGGTGGCTCGGCGTTCACCCTCCCGGTAAATGTTGTAATATTAGCTCTATAAATACTCCCAACCCGGAGTTTCTCTGCCACACTGATGATGTAGCGGGTTCTACGGTCAGAAACCTGAAAAGTGTCGGAGACAGGCTGGATCCTGCCCGTGGAAAGATCTATCACAGACACGAGATTGTCGGAAATGTGCACATCCTGTATGTCGAGTATGATGTACTCCGTGGGATGATAACACCGAAGGTTGATGACAATGGAACCACTGTATGTGGCTTTAGTTACATCCAACCTAAGAGTTAATCTGTATTCATAAGGTTGAAGATAGTTTGGAAGCCGCTGTTGTTCCCACGGCTTTTCCTTGTGGATCTCGGGTGTTGGGTCTGTGAAGGGTCGCGAGGGGTCTCCCGGCTCTGGCTTTAACACGCTCGGTGGCTTGTACGACTTTATAGGAAGCACGATAAAATACACAACTCCTCCGAAGGCGCCCAGAATGACAAAAATGATACAGAAGACTTGCCATCTTTTGATGGTATAGGCTTCCTCCGGGATGGCCACCATCTGCCCGTCCTCATCGAGTTGGTTGACGGGGTCGATTCTTGGCGGTGCCTGCCGAGCTACCGGGGGTAGACCGTCGATAGCGATTTCACAAATCCCGTCCCCCATACTTTGTCTCCAGGAAACAGCCAGGGTTGAGCTTACCTACGAACTGATCGTACCCAAAAATCCGCAGCCGTCGGCCGGAGAATGCAACGTAGCTGGCCATCATGGGATTCCGTCCATTGCTCAACAAGCGTGACCAGAATAGGTAGGATCCGTAAGATCTGTAAAAGAAGATTCCTACTGCAAAATGGACTGGTAATTGCGGAGCTAATTTGATCTCCACGACACGTAGCCACTCCGGGAGGCCTAGACCAGTATCTAACCATCTTTTATCTATCTTTCTGGCAACGCCATCAGAACGTCAGCGCGCTTTCTGGAAAACTGAAGGCTTCTGACGCCTCACCATTGACGTCCGGCCGCGTGGGAACCACACCACCTCCTCAGATTGCTACAGCCCAACCATTTTCAGCCTACGAATCGCCCACCGTGTCCTCTCATTCTCCACACACCTACAGATTAATTGGCAAGGCATCAACGACGGGATCTCGCCATGAAGCGTCGACGTACGTTTGAAAAATCCTTGTCTTCGGGGCAGGTCGGTACAAGAAAAGCTGCGTTACGCCGTTTAGACGGAGACGACCTTACGCCCAGAAGGTTGATTGAGCCTGAACTGCAGCTGGTTTGCCGTCAGGTGGGGATTCACACAAACGGGGATCATCGTCTGTCGAGTGGTGCTGACGAGATTGCCAGAGGAACGCCCGGTGGCTCACACGAGGAGGTAAGGAATCCTGGGACGATCTTCGGCACCTGCATAGAACACGCTCCAACACACCTCATTATGCCATGTCCACTGATTTGGATCAACTCGCAGATTTGGGTAGGCAATCTGCGAAGTTTTGCCTCCGGCTAAGCAAAAGATGGTCCGTTTCAGCAGTCTCTAGCGTAATACATTCCGGCAGAGCTGCAGACATCTGTGTGCAAGCCACGCGTTCACAAACACTGCCTCGTCGCCAGTGGCAGTGAAGCCAGAAAAATTGCGCACATGCGCAATATGCGAGCCCCTAAAAATCGACTGCAGACTTTGAACGATAGAGGTGGCCCACCTATCTTCACATGATGGATGTTTAGCACTTCAGCTGTCTTTATTTTGATGAATTACTAGGTGATAGTAAAACTTATTGCGGGGATTCGTCTGGCTGGGATTTATTTTCACATCAGGTATACCCACGTCCACGTACTTCATAGACCACGTTCCCGGCTAATCATGCACTGCCCTAGGCCTAGAGCGACAACATTGTAAAACTACAAGTAACTGTTTTGCAATCGTATTTCATATCTTAACATCTGCTTGCGTACATCCGTAGAGTAGTAATATACTACTAATATTATAAATACTATACTGCAAGTTCATCCATCTTGGCTTATTAAACCAAAAATGAATTTTCATGTTATATGTTTTTTCGTTAAACACTTAACTGATACTAAATCGCTAATGCTATAATAAGCAAATACTGTAATGTTTGATATGTTTTGTTTACAAGTCTGCTTGCAATTTTCAAATTGTTTCAATACAAGATTTCTACTTGCATTGTTAGTTTGAAGAACGTAAGCATACATTTTACGATTTATTAGCGAAAGCAAATAGTAGCGTCTCATAGAATGTTACCTATAAAATGCAATCAAACGCTAATCATCTCTTGATACATTAGTCAGAAATAGGCATTTTAACATGAGAACATCTTTAGATGATTATTGAAGTGTGAACCGTAAAAACTCATTATCCAGTCACGGCTGATTGGGATTCCAATAAACTAATTAGCATTATTGCCTGTTGATTGGCTGCTGTTCAATGGAACGATCAGATTACAAATGTCTATGAGAAATTTTTTTGATTAGCATAATACAAACGACAGTAATGACAAACAGGATTTACCGCTTTTATTGATTTTTTACTTTTTCTTCCCTTCTCTAAAGCCTTTGGGCCCGATTAATGCAACAAATTAATGTTGCTTTTACTGGAATAATTACTACTATATAGGTTAAGTGCCAGCAAGAATGTACTGGAACTATGCCTTCGTTTGTTTTTAAGTATTTGATGATTTTAGTTAATGGGAAGACTTATCTGGGTCCCACTACATTTTATGTGAACAACACGGTTACCTTGTTTAACATGTTTAAAAATGTCATATAGCTTACACCAATAGACAGGTTCAAAATCCAATGAACTGTCTACTAGTGTCGTCTCTCAGTACGCAATAGGACCAGGTAGCTTTCCGGGGCTAAAAATAAGACCCAGAGCTTTTCCATAGATGTTAACCCCTGGGGAGCTACTTGAAACTGGCACTAAGTAAAGGACATTCCATTTACATCTAAGTCCATCCTACGTGAGCTGAATAGTAGTATGAGGATTATAATACATTTCATGCACTCTGCCGAACAGACCCTGCCTTCTAAATACTCACAGGAGCTGTAAATGTAGTTTTCATCCATGTAACCTGACAATTACCTACTCCTAAAACAGCAACCCTTTCACCTGAGTAAAAACAGCGGGTATTATTCTCGCGTGGGTACAATAAGTGCAGTTTCATCTCACTGGGTGACTTAGACTGGCCTGGTGACACTCTAGGCGCCGCAATCTCCGACGACAAATCTCATCCAACACGGCGACATCAACCTCAACCCACAGACGTGACGCCCATACTCATCAAACAGCCATTTCCCCTACGTTCCCAGCAATCAGGGATCCCTAATTGAATTTTCAAAGCCGGGGAATAAGCCGTGGTACAAAAGCAACGATTTGATGCAATTTCGTCGACGTCGCGATATCACGGAGATTGACATTTGGTGTTAGAACTAGATTCTTCAATTTCTGTTAGTAGGAATAACCTTGATGAAATATATCTTAGAGAGAGCCAGAGGTATCAAACCTAATTAGTACCGCCGGGAAGGAAGGGTAATCAAGTACCTATTGATTGATTACCACGAGACCTTCCAACATCCTTCTAGAGGTCGAGCTGAAGTAGTCTCTTTAGGATCCTTGAAAAAGTCTTCGCATAAAATCGATACTTTTTTGCTGTTGCTTAAGATGACCGTTTTGGGCCAAGAGGTTGTCTGGATGTCATTTTCCTTCGTACCTTGAAGCCAGGATTTTATTCTGATAGGGCTTGAAAAGCATCTATCTGGCGTACAGTGTTGTATTAGTGTAACAATAGTATGACAGAGGCTTTACATGTTACAATAGTATGACAGAGGCTTTATATGTAACAATAGTATGACAGAGGCTTTATATGTAACAATAGTATGACAGAGGCTTTATATGTAACAATAGTATGACAGAGGCTTTATATGTAACAATAGTATGACAGAGGCTTTATATGTAACTTTTAGGCAACGAAATATTGATATTTGCAACTTTCAGCTGCAACGCTATGAGTTATTATGATGCTCTTAATCATAATAACTTCCGGTCTTGAGTTACATATTTTAATTCCCAGTAGTAGCTGATACAATGTTTGTAGACCAACAGAGTGCAAAAATAACTAACAAGGAAAAGAGAGAAGACTTAAAATGAAATTCTTGTGTACCTAGTTCATAGACTTTAGTTGGTAGATGTGACATCAGTGTGCATGGGAAGTTACCATGAACAGAGAGGTCAGTGGCAACTGATAAATCAAGTTATGAAATACGCAGAATCAATCCACGAGTACTTTATCCTGAAACTCCCCTATAAAAGTTGGACGATAACGTTTTTGTCGATGATGATCAGATGCACCAGACCCATCGACTTTCCATTCTGTCTAACATCCCCGTTCCGCCTCAGGTCGTTATGAAAACTCTTCATCCTTTATCATAGAACATGCCAATACGTCCTCTTACATTAGACCCAGTCGGGCAAATAAAACTCAATATCAAAACTCGGCATGAGCAGATGGACGGGGGAGGGAGATCTCGCTGGCTAAATGATTTGGCAAGATCCCAGAATCCAGCAGTGGGTCCCTGTAGTTTGCTCAGGCGTGTCTGTATGGCGACTTTCCAGAGAGAAATGCAGCAACACTCTGAACAAATGAGAAAACGACAACCATACCCCTCCCACATGTGTACTGTATAATATAAGCCAGGGTAATTGTTATCTATGGGCCATGTGCAAGGTGACTGATGGCAACTGGAGCAGACTCCGAGACATATCATGGCTGATTTCAAAATTGGCCATCTCCAATTCACCACACGTGCACGTCTCTAGAGAAAGCCAGGGTTTGAATCGTCAGCATTGGGCAGTAGAAGCTTGAATCGTAATCTTGCTAGAAGTTAAGGCATCTAGGGATCTCAAGGGAGGAGTTCAGCGTCTTGTCTCATACATAATGCAATCCTCCACGCTTGATGATCAAAGGGACCTTTTATAAAAGTACGGTGGGAATTCCAGCACAATTGTCTCTGAGAATCAATGCCACCAAATAATGACGCACCTACAAGTAAAAGTGAAGAGGCGTTTTAATACCAGAGGGATGGGTGGGCGACTTTAGTCTGAAGTTATGGATTGTAATGCTATAAAAAATATGATTCTGTCCTGACAACGATCAGCTATAATGATGCGTGTAGTATAGAAGGATCGCACCTTTGTAACTCAACGTGGTGTTGCAAGTTAACTTTAAGTATTCACTTTGAATAGCGAACCCGCTGCTTAAGTCCACATAATGTAGGAATTATGCTGCTGTGCATCTTTTCAGCACATTCGTCACGTCGGAGACTTATCGGATTTTCTAACAAAGTCAATTATGCAGAAGGGTTAGCATGAGAAACCGGGCGGCGCGGAAGGCTGTCAAATTACAACACATAAATGTTTCCCCTTTACGTGACCAGACACGGTCGGAAATGGGAATAAACGACGTTTTACTGGCACTAGGAAAAGGACTGACTCCAGGCCCTAAACAGCAAGATATATTGCGTTATATAATGTGATCACCGTTGAAACTTTTATGTTTGCCGACAATGCCTCGTAATGTTAAAGAACGCCGGTGAAGGAACTCTCGATGTGATCATGTAAAAATAAGCTGCGGTATCTTTAT